TTCGTTTTATTCGTTACGAATTTGAGTATTCGAATAAAACTAACAATTCGAATAAAATGAACGATAATAATAATAATAAAATTTATAATAGTAATTCGAATAATCCAATCCATTAAAATTTTTTTTCTTTATCAATCTATTTTTCCTTAGTCCTTGAATATAGTAACGGTTCTTTGATTTTTACATAATTGTCATTCTAAATATAGTCTCCTCAATACTAAAGCCGGCTACATTTTTTCTAGAATAATCCGATTGATCAATTAGCACAGGTGCGATTGTATCTTTTCATTTTCAAAAAAAAAAAAAATACGAATTTCAAGTAAAATAAATAACTTTTAAATAGATCACTGACATATAACTTTGTAATTATTACATAATATTGAAATAAACACATTTTAAAATTATTTACGAATTGTTGCATGTTAAAGGGCAAGGCAATCGTGAATGGTTTTTTAATGATAATTAATAGTCTAGTCAAGCTTTAATTATTATTTAGGGTCCTTTTTAAATTTACTTTGTTGATTTGTCTCAGGCAGTATATTTGTAAATATTTCTTGTATATACAAGTTTATTTTTTTGTTTTGTTTTTATTTGTGGTTTATCTTAAAGAATAAGGAGATGGCGGTTAGCGGCTGACGATTAACGTAAATATAGCTTGTGAAGAACAGTTTGGGATTGAGAAACTTAGTTACATGTTCGTACTACAAATCCCTTCAATTAATCATTACAATTTTAAAAAATCAATTAATAAAATATTTTCTATATTTTTTATCAATAAATAAATTTAATAAAATTCTTCATTTGTAAAATTGATTTTTTTCTTTAATGAAACGAAAATGCCTAAATACATTGTTACATATATATAAGTACATATGAATATATAATAATTTAAATATGGAAATTTAATTATTTCCCAAAATTATTTCCAGATCTCTCTATTTGTTCCTTTCTTCAGGATCTTTAGCATTTGTAGATGAAATCCCAAGGAGATTTCTAAATCCACCAGCTGCTCTACTCCCTGATTGTATATCTCTGTCATGACGACAATAGTATGCTTTATGTGGATTATTAGGATCTTGTAATGTCTTGTATAAATTTTCACGAATTCTAGAATCTGCTTCTTTTTGTTTTGACAAGTCTTCTTCAATCAAATTAGCATTTATCAATTCATCATTGCTATCATCATTAACGTCGTCAATCGAACGTGAAGTACCATAATTCGATTTTCTAGAATATTTTTTGAATATTCCTATTTTATTTCTTAACCATCCTGTGCTTTTAGTTACTTTTGGTCTTTTGACTGGCAACCATAGCCAAGGAAGTGTGCCAACCAATGCAGGTGCAATGTAATTCCTCATTCCTGTATTCAAGACTCCTTTATACAAAGTCATTGGTGGCTGGCTGTAGTCGGTGTACATATCTGGTTCTGCATGATATAAATCATCTTCTAACACATCTCTTTGGGAAAGACCGTGTCCCACACCCCCCGGTGACGATGACGATGATGATGACGACGATGTTTCTTGTATTACAGTTTTACCTTTTGCATTTGAATTTTCATCAGTTGTGGTGGTGGTGTCATTGTCAGGAGTTTTTTGTTTAAAAGTAACATCATCATTTGTGTTAATTGTTGATTTTTTTTCCTCGTCTTTTAATGTCTTTAATGGAATGTATGCAGCATTACGATCATATGCCGTGTTAACATAATAAAAAAATACAGCAGTCATGATAAGGGTAGGAAAGACAGATACTGCCAAATAATAAGACTCTTTAAGTATCAAGTAACCAATCATCATAATTTGGTATATATAAAGTCCGATTGTAATCCTTCTAAAGATTTTTGGCCATGCAAGACCAGCGGTTTCATAAGGATGGAAGTATACTTTTACAATATAAATTTTTATTTTAAAAAAAATAATTAATATATATTTTTTTAAATACACCGACAACAACAATATTATTAAATTTGGTACGTACCGTATAACAACAAATATTTATATACCATGTAACCAAGAAAGAAATAGATTGCACCAAAAGGTAAAATTATTGGTGCAATAGATGAATATACCAATACTATTACAAAAATTAAAACCATGGGTGGTAATTCTTCTCCATAATCCAAAAATGGTGGTGCATTAGCATATGCATAACTTCTAGGTGTTTTTGCTTTTAATCTTTTGAATATAACAACTGCGACTTCTTTTATTTGTAATAAATGTGCCGGAAATAATCC